CACACACACACAAAAAAAAAAATCTCAGATACAGTGGGAAGGATGTCAAAACACCAGTCAATCTGTATCAGCCCAAGAAGAACAAGCGAGATGAAAAGCAACACCGTGGTTACTGTGAAAATATTTTCTAGCAGCACAGAGGGAGAAAGGAAGTAACTCAAACCACTGAGCCACCCCGGAGAGGAGCTCAGTTCAAAGAAGGGAGGAAATGCTCGTAATGGCTCTGAGACACAGACGCAATAATAAAAAGAAAGGTACCGTAAGGAGGCATGTTGAAACAACAGAAAGATGAAAACGGAGGCTGCAGGTCTCAGGAAACAAAATATCCAAACAGTGTTGTTACAGGACTGATACATGGATCAGAGGCAGCAAGTAGTGAAACAGAAGCTACAAAAAATGGAATGGTGGACACNGGATCAGAGGCAGCAAGTAGTGAAACAGAAGCTACAAAAAATGGAATGGTCGACACAGAGGAAAAACACAAGATAGTAACATTGAATAAATGTGAAAAATAAAGGTGAAATGCTAACAGATGTGGAAGACAAATTACCCAACATAGGACAACTGGTATCCCTGAATCGAGACAACAGATGGAACAAAGATGCATTTATATAAGAGAGAATTTCCCAGAAATAAAGAAAAGAAAAGGGAGTCCCCATATTAAAATGTCGGGAAATTTTTATTCAGAATGCAAAACTCCAAGTCACACCCTAATGCGGGTATTTAACTTTAAGGTTAAAAAAAGAACTCTTTGGGCATTTAGGGAGAAAGTGAAATCTCACCATCGTCATCATGACAAGATCTGAGAAGTTCTCAGAGGGACAAAACGGGTGACCCGACACCACTCGCTCAGCCAAGTAGGCAGCAAGCAGCTGTCTCAAACACAAACAACTGTGGACACAGAACGCCAATCGGACCTTCTCGAAAAAAGTCATGTGAGCGTAGAAGTCCAATCAATTAAGAGATGATTGATGTTAACAGAAACAGTGACACCTGAAGCTAATACAATAGTGAATTTCAGCTGTGTGGAATACTACGCAGCTGTAAAAAGGAAGGAGCCCTTGCCCTTTGGGACAGCATGGGGGGACCTGGAGAGCATTATGCTGAGCGAAATAAGCAGTCAGAGAAAGACAAGTGTCTCATAATCTCACTCATATGTGGAATCTAATGAACAAAATAGACTGAGGAACAAAGTAGATCCAGAGACATGGAAGCATGGGACAGACTGAGGGACCTCAGAGGGAAGGTGGGG